ACCCTGTCTGAAAATATAAAGTGCTCAGGATAGCTGGGCGTGATGGTGCATGCCTGTGATCCCAGCAAGAGGCAGGAGGAATTCAAGTTGGAAATCAGCCTCAGCAACTTAGCAACACCCTATCTCAAAAATAAAAAAATAAAAAGGACTGAGGATGTAGCTTAATTGTAGAGTGTTCCTGGATTCCATAGGGGGCAGGTAAGAATTGTGCCCTGGGACCAAGAGCCCATGGCCAATAGCAAAGGAAAAATAGCACTGAAACCATCCACAGTTCAAGTAAGAACTGGAGGTATTATAAAGATGGCAATTCAAATTGTGCTGAATAGCAAAATATTTAGAAATAAAGTGAACTGGGTCCTTAATACATATAGCAAAATAACTTGCAGAAAGATAAAAAGGTTAAAGGTAAAAACAATCACCATTAAACAACTAGAATAAAAATAGTGGTGAATATTTTTGTTGTTGTTGTTGTTGTTGTTTTGGTATCAGGGATTGAACTCAGGGGCACTTAAACACTGAGCCACATCCCCAGCCTTTTTTTTTTTTTTTTAATATTAGAAACAGGGTTCTTGCTGAGTTGCTTAAGGCTTCGCTAAGTTGCCGAGGCTGGCTTTGTACTTACAATCCTCCTCCCTCAAGCCTCCCAAGCCACATGAACATTTAGTTTTATCTTAGGAACTTTCTAAACATAAAAGTAAAGGAAAAAATTTCACTAAGTAATAGCTACAACAGTCCCCTGTTATCCATGTTTTTGCTTTCCAAGGTTTCTTGTGGTCAACTGCAGCTTGAAAGTATTAAATGGGAAATTAGAGAAATAAGTGTTCATAAGTTTTGTTTTGTTTTGTTTTGGTGCTAGGGATTGAATCCAGGGGCTTTCTACCACTGAACTACATTCCAAGCCCTTTTTATTTTTTATTTTGAGACAGGGCCTCACAAAGTTGCTGAGGCTGGCTTCAAATTGTGATCTTCTGTTTCAGCCTCCCAAGTCACTGGGATCATCAGCATATGCCACTACATCCAGCAACAGTTCATAAGTTTTAAGTCATTTTATGATAATATTCTACTTTATCTTGTTGTTTTTCTCTTACTATGCCTAATTGTGTGTGCGTGTGTGTGTGCGCGCGCGTGTGTGTGTGTGTTTGTGTGTGTTGCTAGGGATTCAACCCAGGGTCTCAAGCATGCTAAGCATGAGCTGTACCACTGATATATCCCCTAACCTCTAATTTGTTTGTTTTGGTACTGGAGATTGAACCCAGGGACAGTTTACCATTGAGCTATATCCCCAGCCCTTTTTTATTTTTCATTTTGAGACAGGATCCCACTAAGTTGCTTAGGCCTTGCTAAATTGCTGAGGCAGACCTTGAACTCTTGGGATCTTCCTGTCTCAGCCTCCCTGAGCCACTGGAATTACAGGCATGATCCACCATGCCAGGCACAACCCCTAATTTGTAAATTAAGTTTTATTATAGGTCTGTATAGGAAAAAATAATATATAGTTCAGTTTTCAAGAGTCTTTTGAGGGTCTTGGAACATCACCTGAGGATAAGAGGGGATACTATATATGAAAATGATGAACTTTGGTACAGCAGAAAATGTCATTTAAAAAAGCAAAAGCAAATAATTAAAAAATAAATTTGGTGTAGCTTAATTTAATTGATAGGTAAAGTTCTATAAGTAACAACAATAGACAACTAAAAAGAAGATAAACACTTGGATAGAAAAAGGGGCCACATTCACATATGGAGAGTTCTTGAAAGAAATACAGAAGGGTAATAAAGACAAAAAGATTGTCACACTAATAATTGGAAAAAAATGAAAACAGGACACTTTTTTCCCTGAAGGCTTGTCAGAAGTTTATACCTTGGCAGTCCTGGCCTTGAGAACCTGTTGAATCCAGGCAAGGAGGGGGGCCCTGGGGAATGTACAGGTATGACAGGATGGGTAGGGGCTTTTGATAGGCTATGGGGGAGGGTGGCAATGAAGGGTTGCTGGGATTATGGCAGCCAGGGAAAAAAGATTGGCATCCACAGCAGCTGTTCTTCCAGGTGAGGGACTGCCTGGCTTGGTGACAGGTCCCACACAGGCCACCCACATGCCTGCTGCCTTGTAGATCTTGGAGCCTGGCCGTAGGGAGCGGCTGGGCCTGAAGATGGCCAATGAGGCTGCTGCCAAGAATCGAGCTAAGAAGCAAGAAGCCTTGCGGAGAGTGACAGAGAACCTGGCCAGGTGAGGGGCAACTAGGTCCTGGGAAGGGGTAATGGGTGGGGATGAACTAGTGTCTGCCTTGTCCCTGCTCTGCCCACACTCAGCCATGTGGATGTATGGCTTATAGGGTAGAACCCAGGGCAGATCCATGGGGTTCTGCAGTGGGTGCTGTAGCTGCTCCTCTGCTATGGTTGCATGTGGACCAGGCTACAGGACTCTTTCTGTGTTCTTTCCTCTACATCTCCTTGACCTGTCCTTAAGAGTCACCTTTAGGCAATTTGTCCCATTATGAATTCCTATCAGTCCTGTGGAGACAGTGTTATTATCATTCCTCTTGGAGAGAGGTGGGAACTCCAACTTTCAGAGGTCTGTAGTCTACCCAGCCTCACAGCCAAAGGCAACAGCATCAGTTGAACTCAAGTTCAGTCTGATTGCTGTGTGCTAAGCCACCCAGTGTTGTCTTCCTCAGTTCAGAATGACCATACCTCTGACAAGGCTTTTCCTTAGGGGCTGAGGGAGGCCTTACTCTGATACCTAACCCTACTTCTCTCCCTAATCCCTTCATCCCAGCCTCACTCCCAAAGGCCTGAGCCCAGCCATGTCCCCAGCCCTGCAACGCCTTGTGAGCAGGACAGCCAGCAAGTATACAGACCGAGCCCTGCGGGCCAGCTACACACCATCCCCAGCACGTTCAACCCACCTCAAGACTCCAGCTGGTGGGCCGCAGACCCCCACGAGCACACCAGCCCCTGGTTCTGCTACACGCACACCCCTCACACAGGACCCAGCCTCCATCACAGACAACTTACTACAGCTCCCTGCTCGGCGCAAAGCCTCAGACTTCTTTTAGAGCCAGGCCTGTGCTGGGCCCTTGGACATTGTGTGGAACCTTCAGGACAGCTGTCCACCCAGCAGAGGACTCCTCCTGGAAGTTCAGGCACAGACCGGAGGCATTTGATCATCACAGGAATCACAGATGAAAGATGCTGTGCCTCAGCCAGGCCAGCATGGGACACATGCCCTCTCCCTTTTGGATACAGCATCCATGCTGTCCCTTGGGGCCTTGCTGAAAGTTTCTATGTCATTAAAGAACACCTGGCACATTCTGGCCAGGCTGCCCTTCTGCCCTGCTCCTTGAGTGGGCCCTGGGACCTCCTTGGGCCAGCTGTGCTATCTTAAGACTTCAGGATTAGAGGCAAGGGTGCCTCCAGGGGAGGAAGCTGTGGGTAGGGTGGCTCCTCCATTATTTTCTGTGACTCCCTTAGCTACCTTCTGAGCTGAGCTCACAGGTCTTTCTGAGGAAGTGATGGAGCCTCCAGAAATATATTCCTCATGGTCATCTGGAACTCTGAGCCTGTGTGGTTTTCTGGTTATACAGCCATGTAGGTCCTGTGTGACAGACCCTACTTCTGTATGAGGCACTTTCATGGTGGCCTCAGCCATCACCCTCTCCCAGCACTTAACTTCCAGCTCAGAACAGAACCATCTCTACCTTCCTGCCTGTATTCTCCCCCCACTGCTCTTGGTCTGAGACATGGGTGCCCAACCCTCAAGTGATTGATGGCCAGCTGGGCTCATATACCTATTATCCATGGAATTGAGGGTCATGTCATGGTTTAGTTCAAACCAGTGACTTCAGGCCTCAAGTGGGGGTCACAGGCTATACCCTCTGGGGGACCCAGAGTTCCCACTGTTCAAGGGGCTTAGGGAACACCTGATACAGCTCAGAACAGAGTCCTGCTTTATGACCTGTACAAGCCATTTTCTCCAATCTTTCTGTGTTGGTCCTCTTGCCTGTTCCCTAACTGTTGATGTTTTCTGGAGGCTAGTCCAGAGACTGACATCTGCCATTTGATACCTGACTAGGGTTTCTGCTAACCTGTGCTCCCCCACAAGTGAGTTTCTGCAAGCTCCTGGGGTGGCTGTCCTGGGACCCTCCAGGAGTTGAAGCTAGGATGCTTAGTGGTCAGAAAGGTGGGGCCTTGTGTACTTTTGTCTAAGAAGGAAGGTTGAACTTTAGCCCCTGGGAGCCTCCAGGAAGTGGGAGGCAGGAGGTACTGATGACCCTCAAGCACTTAGCATGTAGGTAGCATGCTCTGGGGAGTGATAGATTATCAAACGGGAAACATAAAAGACTGGGCAGTGCCATCACCAACAGCTGCTTCATAGAGCTTGCAGGCCCAAGTGGTGGGGAAGGTGCCCGCAAACTGCCTCATCTGGACTGCCCCTGGATGATGATAAGGGTGGCCCATGAGCAGCTGAGCCAATCTCAAATGACCCCAGGGATTAGAGGAGGACATTGAGCAAAGAGTTGTGAGAAGGAGTATAACAGGGTCAGCATAGGCTGCACTGCATGAAGTGAAGGAGAGGCATGGAGCTGCTCAGCCCTGGAGGCCTCAGGGACAGGGGCAGGTCAGAGGCAGACAAGTGTGGGCCTGGTAGGTAGACCATGGCAGAAGTCCTCTTGCCATAGGCCTCACCATGAGTCTGCCTATACCTGAGCACCGGCCTCTGGTCCCCTATGCTGGAGACCCCTGCGCCGGCTGAGTCCTAGAGAAAAAGACTCCTCACTGGGCACTCTTAATGCTTGTATACACTTTGTGGTTTATTTGGTGGTCAGTAATTAATGTCTTTGCAACTAAGTGGAAGAAAGCTAATAGACCGTAATCAAAATAGTGGTTTAATTGACGGATTTTACTTGTTCCTTGCACCTGTGCCTTCTTCAGCTCCTACCTGCCTACTTAGTTTATGTGAGCGCAAACTACACGCTACGCCCCCCAGGGCCCTCTCCACCACTAGGTGCTTGCCTTCCCAACCTCAGCTCCGGTGATGTGATGGTCTTTAGCTCTGGAGGTCTCAGCCAGCCTTTCCTCCATCCTGTCCTCATTTTCAGGCACCACCAGCAGTCGGTGTTGGGTTTTGGCCCCCAACTTGTGGTCAGGCTGGTGCTCGGGCCTTGTACCTGGCCGGGTATCCAGTTTACACTCAGCCCGGTACTTGCCCTCCCCCTCCCTCTTGAAGGAGGCAGAAGACATGGCTTTGGGCTTGGGGGGCTGCAGCCATGAGTGGCTGAGAATTTCGTCAATGTGCAGCCGTCGGTTGACATCTGGCTGCAGGATACGGTAGATGAGGTCCTTGCATTCGCTTGTCAGATTCTTGGAGCGGGGGAAGTCCACACGGTGCTCCTTCTGGATGCGCAGCATCTTTTTGATGTCAGAATCATCGTAGGGCATGGAGCCACAGACCATGATGTAGAGGATCACACCCAGGCTCCAGATGTCATACACCTTGGGCTGGTAGGGGATGCCCTGCAGCACCTCGGGGGCTGCATATGCAGCCGACCCACAGAAGGTCTTGCTGAGGACGATGCGCCCGCTCCCGTCTCGCAGGCAGCGCTTGGAGAAGCCGAAGTCAGACAGCTTGATGTTGAAGTCCTTGTCAAGGAGAAGGTTTTCGCACTTGAGGTCTCGGTGGACAACATCTAAGTCATGGCAGTACTTGACAGCTGAGGAGAGCTGGCGGAACATTTTACGTGCTACATCCTCATGCAGGGCCCCTCGGCACTTGATGAACTCGAGCAGGTCACCCTGGACCCCAAGCTCCATGACAATGTAGATGCGCCCATCAGAGGTCTCAAAGATCTCATATGTCTTGATGATGGAGCGGTGGTTGACAGTTGCCAGGATGTCCATCTCTCGAGGAAGGAATCTCTCCACAAAGTCAGTGGGTGTTTTCTTGCGGTCGATAATCTTGACTGCCACATTAAACTTAAGGCGCTCAGAGTAGGCAGATTTGACTTTTGCATAGGAGCCCTTGCCCAGATTGATTCCCACGATGTAACCCTTCTTCCTTAGGACCGCGGCATCGTCCATGGTGCCAGGAGCGGCCGGTGCCGCTGCCCTCTACATCCCCTCCCCACACGGGCCAGCAGGCATTGTCCTCATTTGCACTGTGGGGAGTTGTCTGGCTGGGCTGGGCCTGGACTTGGAGGGGTAGAACGCTCAGCATTGTCGCCAGGTGACTTCAGCGAATGAAGTCATAAAGCCAGGCTGCCGGGAGTGGGGACTGGGGAGTGGGGACTGGGCTGAGGGGAATGGGGCCCCTGGAATCCTGGAAGCCAGGCCAACCTGGAAGGAGCACCCTCTTCCTCCCCGCCCACTGGAACAAAGCCAGGACCCAGGATTGTGGTAACCCTCCCTGCTCCTCTTTCTTGCTATTGCTTCCCTGTCATAAGTCAGGCCCAAAAGGAGGTGGCTCAGGTCCAGCCAGAGTACCAATCCCATGCCCATTTCTCTTACCTGGTCATGGGAACTGACCCTGCATTGGTCCTTCTTTCACTAGGACCAGTTTTCCTACAACTTCTTAGGGGTGTGAAGAAAACTCCATAGAGCTTCTTGGAATCTGTGGTATCTCAAGCCAGTGGTGGTTCCAAACCTGGTGGACCAAAGCAACTCTTTGTTTGAGATCAGGAGCTGGAGTCCTTGGGCTAGACAACTAGGCAGATGAGTTGCTGTTGCTTCAGTGAGCAGGGGTGTTTATGGGGATGGGAGGGCAGACAGTACTCAGAGATGCATTGTTTGCCTGGTTAGGTGGCTAAGGGTCCAGGGCAGGGAGATGCATGTTCCAAGGGGCAGGGCAAGCTTAGAGATGGGGCAGGGCAAGCTTAGAGATGGGTCAGGCTTCAGCCAGGTGGAGGAGGTGGTGGGGCATCTAGTCTTCTGAGAGTGGCTGACAAGTCAGGAAGGGAGAGGAGGAGAAAGTCAGGGGCTTTTTTCTCTAAGTGATGGGAAGTGATTGCATAATCCAAGTCTCATTTTAAGGTGGTCACTGGCAGAAAGAAAAGAATTAGCTTTGGGGAGAGTGTGGAAGCTTACTGCCTTGGGTCAGGTTTGAGAAATCTGGGCCAGTGTAGGCTTCTGGGGGTTTAAAAAAAGCCCCAAAAGGGTCAGCCTGGATCTAGTCAGTGAGTGGGATGGTTCTGTGGCAGGGTCCTGGGGGATTGGCAACATTCAGAGCATTATCCATGAAGGGCAAGCTTCTGGGTGGGGAGGGGGTCCAGAATATTTCACTTTGGACATTTGGACATTGATGTGGAGTGAGCAGGGGTCACTTGCTAGAACCCTGGCATTACATATCATTTGCATCTCAGACTGCCTATTGTACCTGGTGTGTGGATTTTTGCTTTGGAAAATTATATCCTTTATGCATCTCTTTAGCTACTTTGGAAGTCCTGATGTTTGCTTGCCATCCATCAGAGGCATCCTATGCCCACAGAAGCTTCCAATACAGGTGAGCTAGGGGTGTTGTATTAAGAGGGAGCAGAAAGGCCTATTTCTTGCTTTTTCTTTTTTTAGTTGCAGGTGTACATAATAACTTTATTTATTCATTTATTTTTATGTGGTGCTGAGGATCAAACCCAGTGCCTCACACATGCTAGGCAAGTGGCCTATCACTGAGCCACAAGCCCAGCCCAGAAAGCCTGTTTCTATGTGGGATTTCAAAGTTTCCAAAGAGGAAGTGACATAGGAGTTCTGGTGCAGAGAATCCACAGAGCTTCACCAGGTGGACAATGGGATAAACATGTTAGGCGGAAATGACATCTTGGAGCAAAGGCATAGCTGTGTGGACACATCTGGAGCTTGTAGTGTGCCCTGAGTCTGGCAACCTAACTTGGGCTGCCAGTATAAGAGACAGGATGGGTAGGGTGGGCAGATGTATCCATGGTGACCACCTTTCAGCAGCACCAGATTCCTGAGTCAGGCTCTGGCTCTGTAGAGTACTCATAGCTAATAGCTTTAGCTTCATGCATTCCTTTCTCCGAGAGGCTCTTTTTGGCTGAAATGACCGTAACTTCACTCCTTTGTGTCCTAGAAGGGGCTGGCTGTAAGATTTGCAGGCAAGGGGCTGGGGATGTAGCTCAGTGGTAGAGCACTTGCCTAGTATGTGTGAGGCACTGGGTTTGATCCTCTGCACCATATAAAAACAAACAAATAAATAAAAAAATATTTTAAAAAAGATTTGCAGGGCAGGACCCAGGAGTATAATACTTCCCTCTTCTCCCACATTCCTAGCAACCACTGATGCTGGAGCATCTCTGTTTATTAAACACAGGGCACACTACATACTATTGGTCATAATATTGGTTAATTGCACCAATTCATCATCTCCTCCTCCTCCTCCTTCTTCTTCCTTCTCTCTCTCTCTCTCTCTCTCTCTCTCTCTCTCTCTCTCTCTCTCTCTCTCTCTCTCTCATGGATGTTGCTCTCTCAACCCTGCCCTTGCCCAGGATAGTGTGGTCTCTCTGTTTCTTCGGGGACATGCTGTAGGAAGCAAGTGTCAGCTTGGCACAAGCAGAGCTGCTGAAACATGGAGTGGGTGGTTTTGTCCTGGGTGTTTTTGTCACGAGGCTAGGGCACCTAGTATATTTGGAGTAGGTTAGATCTGACTGGAGACCTCTAGGGTTATACCTAGTGTGGCTGGGGACCTGCACATTCCAGGAAATCTATAGTCCTCTGAGTTTCACTTTCTTAAATAAATTAGATCCCCACTGACCCATTCTTCCCACAAGCTTGTGAGAGTCTGTTTTAGGTGCTGAGGGACACCAGTGAACTAGAGGCACTCATGCCTTCCTGGATTCCAGAGGTCAGGGAAGCTAGATGTCATACCGACCAGTGTGAGTGCATGATGGTGGTTGTGTCCTGACATGGCACCATGGAGCTGTGAGGACAGAGAATTGGAGATTAAATTTAAGAAGGCTGAGGTCTGGGTAACTAGCCAGGTGGAAGAGAATCGCGGGTAGGTAATGCCTATAATGGCCTGAGGGTCACTCATGATGAGGACATAAATGACCAGGGAACCACCTTGAAGTCTGGTCCTAAAGCCTCTGAGGATGAAGGTGATCAATCCAGGGTCAAACACACCAGAAAAACTGTCCAAAAGGATGAGGCTATCTGTGGAAGCTATTGTTACCTGGTTGTTACCTGGGCCTGCTGCTCTGGTACTGTGCTTTCAGGTAGGTTGCCAATCCTTTCTGAGCTATTTTCACACCTGTAAAGCACACAGCAGGTACTCCTAAAGCCTCCCCTGCCCAGGATGCCTTCTGGCTGGGATGGGCTGCAGTGAGTCACTCCTAGGCCTTCTTACTCTCCTCTGTCCTGAGGACTATGGAAGACCTGCAGGGATGAGCCATTCTCCACCTCCCCACCCAGATAGCATCATGTGCCCTGGGATACCATTCCAACACAAGCTTATTCATGGGAAAGATGCTGGGAGGCCTTCTAGTATTACTGAGGACTGTTCTGTGCCCAGATCCTGGGTACTCAGAGGCCTCCCTGGCAGAGTTCACAGGAACAGGAAACAGAGCACCAGTAGGAATCCCAAAAAGGTTTTGTGGAGGCCAAGGCCCCTTGGCTAAGCCTGGGGAGATGGGCAGAGTCTGCAGGGGCAAGTCTACTAGTAATTATGGCACTAGTGTGTGATGGAGGTATGGGGGTCAGGGTCATCTCTAGGAGGCCAGCAGAGAAAGGATGGGTCTAAAGAAGGCCAGGACTGGGATTGTGGCTCTGGGGTAGAGCACCCGTCTAGCATAGGTGGGGCCAGGGTTCGATCCTTAGCACCACATAAAAATGTATTGTGCTGTGTCCATCTACACGTAAAAAATAAATTAAAAAAAGGAGAAGGCCAAGCCTGAGAAGACCTAAGAGGTTAGGTACTTGAATCCATCCTGTGGGTGGTAGGGGCCAGACTGGGTGTAGGAGGGTGGTTCCTGTGGGAGGTGATGGGAGGGGAGGGGGCTATGGGGTGAGGGAGAAGCCAGGGAGGAAAGTAGATTGAATGTAGGAAGGGATGCTGGGATCTCACTGGACCTCAACTTTTCCCAGGGTCTTGGGAGTTGGGGTGTTTCCAAGTTTGGGATACAGATGGAGGAGTGATTTTAAATGCTCTTGTTTTTGTGTATGTGTACTAAGCCCTTAGCACCACCCCCCATGAGGTTATCCAATGTGAGGTGAAGAGAGGGGCCACTGTGGCCAAGAGAGGATTGCCTGGGACAAGGCACAGGTAGGGCATGCAGCACATGGCAATCAATAGTGCCCAGTGCAGGCCATACCTCCCATGGGATACTGGTACCTGCCTTGTTTGTCCACAGGGTCCCGGCATTCTTTGTGAGGATATCTATTCTATTTGCCAGTGTCAGCTTCTTACCTCTGGAAGGAATGCCAACCCTGGCATCAGGCTGAGAAAGGGATGTGGTCAAGGCCACACAGGACTGTGGAACATGCTGGACCATCCAGCTGAGTCTCTCACTTCTCCTGGGCTGAAGAATAACCATGGTGGGGATATAACTCAGGGCACTGTTGAGAACTGGGTGCCAGTTGGACATGGGGGGAACATGTCCCATGGTGGACAGAACAGAAAAAAAAACAACAGTTGTCCTGCCCTCTGCAGTCTCTCCCTCAACCCTCACTGACTGGAAAGCTTACTTAATGCATGCCAAGGGGTGATGGTGGCATACCAGTCTAGAACTCAGCTTCAAATGCAGAGAGCCAGCTATCCCAGTATGAGAGGCCCTGGCCTCCCACCCTTCCTTTGCAGGCAACTGTGTTGCCTTTCTCAGCCTTCTACCCTTTCCTACCCCTAATCAGCACCCATGGACCTTCCTCTGGAAGCAATATCTTCCTCATTCAACTCTCTGCTCTGACCCATGCCCCTCCAGGTCTCCCCAACACCTGGAAAAGCTGCCTTAGCCAGGTCCTAAGGTCACAGTCTGAGCTGGGCACACTGGGATATATTTTTCCAGGAGTGAGAATTCATAATCTGAGTGGGAAGCCAGGGGGCACCCAGGACTGCAGTCAGTGGGGCAAAGACATTCACCTCGGGGTCTGCACTAATATAGTGATTTATTGCTTCTTTAGCCATGTTAGTTACCAAGTTCAAAGGGTGGGAGAAGAAACTGACGAAAATAGCGGCTCATCCGGGACTGTCTTCCTTCTCTGCTCATCCCTTGATTCCTTCTGGGCTCAGGCTTCAAGCCATGAGCTCTGCCTCATTCCCTGCCAGCCCCCTGGGCTGCAAGAGGCTCACTAGGTGTGTGTCTCTGGAGGCTGTTGGGGAGGCCCTTCCTCTGATTCCCTGATCATCTGCTCACTGCTGAAGCCCAGGGTCTCTGATTGCCTGGCCACTTGCACTGTATCCTCCTCAGGTTTTGTCTCAGGCCGTGTCTCGTGTCGTGCCTCAGCTCGAGCCTCTTCCCGAGGCTCCAGCTTGGTGGCGGACTTCTTGTCAGAGCCAGGTTCAGGGGTCCATTGCGGGTCAATGCTCCGGGAGCTCTCCCCCTCCTTGATGGCTGCAGAGGATAGACCCCGTGCCTTGGGTTGCACCCAGCAGTGGCTGAGGATCTCATCTATGTGCAGCCGCCGGTTAACATCCGGCTGTAGCATGCGGTAGATGAGGTCCTTACATTCTCCTGTCAGGTGCTTGGAGCGTGGGAAGTTGACACGGTGCTCCTTCTGAATGCGCAGCATTTTCTTGATATTGGAGTCATCGTAGGGCATGGAGCCACAGACCATGATGTAGAGGATCACGCCAAGGCTCCAGATGTCATACACTTTGGGTTGGTAGGGGATGCCCTGCAGCACCTCGGGGGCTGCATATGCTGCAGACCCACAGAAGGTCTTGCTTAATATCAGTCGGCCACTTTCATCCCGCAGGCAGCGCTTGGAGAAGCCAAAGTCAGACAGCTTGATGTTGAAGTCCTTGTCAAGGAGAAGGTTCTCGCACTTGAGGTCTCTGTGGACGACATCCAGGTCATGGCAGTACTTGATGGCCGAGGAGAGCTGGTGGAACTTCTTACGAGCATCATCCTCTTGCAGGGCTCCCCGGGTTTTTATGAATTCAAGGAGGTCTCCTTGGACCCCGAGCTCCATGACGATGTAGACCTTGCCGTCTGATGTCTCAAAGATCTCGTAGGTCTTGACGATGGAGCGGTGGTTTAGCATGGCCAGAATCTCAATTTCCCTGGGAAGGAATTTCTCCAGGAAGTCTGTGGGGGCTTTCTTGCGGTCGATGATCTTGACCGCCACGTTGAACTTTAGGCGCTCAGAGTAAGCGGATTTGACTTTTGCGTATGAGCCCTCTCCCAAATTTATCCCCATGATGTAGCCTCGTCGCTTGAGGACGGCAGCGTCATCCATGGTGCCGGGAGCGCCCAGTGCCTCTGAGGCTGCCCTCTACATCCCTGCGGGACATGGGCCAGCAGTGTCCTCATTTACACTGTAGACAGAGAGTCCTCTGGGCTGGCCGGGCCTGCTGTCCCTGCCTCCTAAGAGGCCAAGACTCTAAGATGGAACATTCAGCACTGTCTCCCAGGTGACTTCAGTGGGTGAAGTCACAAAGGAGGAGTGCCCTAGGGAAATGAGGCTTTGGCTTGGACTTGGAACCCTGGGAGGATCTGCCAGTGGGCTGGAGCAGACTGAAGGCCAGCAGAGTGCCCTCATGCTTGGCTGGGACTTGAGGTAAGAGAGGGCTGTGGGGAACACAAATGTTTGCCCATGTTTCCAAAACCATAACCAGGATTGCTTGTAGAGTGATGGCGCTGGTGACTGCAAACCAGGTCACTCTAGAGAATCTATGGCAGGTCCTATCAACAGGAAACAGCAGACACACTGAATTTACAATAGTTTGAGGAGGATTTAATTAAGGGATGATTTACAAGGTGAAAGCAGAGTGTAGGGAACTCCAAGGGTAGTATAGGTACCCTAAGGTAGTTACAGACCTCTGGCCCACATGGAAGGAGGAGTATAGAGAAAACCACCCTGAGAGAGGCAAAAACCGTTGATGGAGGGAAAGAGCTAGGCTGTGGTGACATCACAGGTTTGTTTCAGGGAAAGTGATCCAGACCTCTTTTCCTCCCTTTAGCTCTTGACATTATTCACACAGGCAGTTTGCAGGGGCCCAGAGCAAGGCTGAAGAAAGGTGAAGATGGGTTATGAGGTGCAAAGATTCAGTTGCTGCAGTTTGGGAAAGCAGGACTTTGCATTCTCGTTGCAAGATTTGGTTAGACTTTTCACCTCTCTGTAGTTTTCTTTCCTCATCCAAACCTTTGCTGGCCTGCTTCTCTTACAGTGGCTCTTCTTCGAGGACAACTGACTCGAATTCTGCTCTCGACTGTAAGTTCCCTCCTAGGGCCCTTGCCCAGCTTATGGTCCTGGCTGGGCTCCCAGGACAGATCTGGGGGAGAAGCAAAAGGCTGGACCTAGAACCCATGCTGAGTACTGGAAGCTGCTCCTGGGAATGCTCTGAGAATGGCACAAGCAGCAAGGGCAGCACTGGACAGGGACCTTCGTTTCTGCCAGCAGTGGGATCCCTCTGCTGTGACAAGCCCTTAGTCCAGCACCTGATCTGGGCTGTGTCCTGGGAGAGTATGATCCCTTGAAGGTCTGGCCTAACTTTGGGTTTGACCTTGACTTATTCACATTTAGAGAGATTAAGGTACCCTCTGTCATGACCTCAAGAGTCACAGGCTGGAAAAAGGGATGGAGGTGGGTCAGGGTATGCTGGGATCCCACTAGCTTTGGCTCTTACCCTTTTTCTGTGCTCCTCATCTTCACTTTTCCTAGCCTTGACCACCCATACTGCCAGGTCTGGTGTTTAGCTGGTGGACAGCCTGCTTATCCCTCCTGCTGAGGATGCCCCATCTGTTATCTGTCCTCCCTGTTCACCCTATTCATGGTGACAGGTGCAAAGTCAGCACTTGGAGCTTTGTTCCCAGAGAGTTTAGCATCATCCCTCATCTCTACCCAGTGCTTTCCTCTATGCCTTCGCCTCCTCTCCCAGTGTGTAGGCAGGTCCATCCTCCAGAAGAGGCCAGCTTTGCTCCAGTCTTTAGGATCTGGGCTTCCCTGTTATTCTTTGTGTGACTCCCTTAGCCCATTTACTCACCTGTTAAGACTTTCAGGTTTTGTTGTTTTTTGGTTTTGGTATTGGTTATTGAACACAGTGGTGCTTTTACCACTGAGCTACACCCCCAATCCTTTTTATTTTGAGACAGGGTCTTGCTAGATTGCTGAAGGCTTGCCTCGAACTTGTGATTCTCCTGCCTCAGCTTCCCCAGTCGCTAAACTTTCAGTTTTGTGTGCTGATGAAGTCACACCTGTCTTTTCCTTACAGGACTGACCCTCTTCCCCGTTACTCCGCTCCTCCAGTTTTCTTCCTTCATCCTCCACAGCGGTCCAGTCTTAAAACGCCACTTTAGGGTGCACTGTTGGGTATCGGAGACGACGTGGGTCCGCCAGTGTGAGGATCCTTTGGGTCTTTGGGCCCCTGGGTCCTGCTTCGACTTCTAGATTGGCTATTCCCGCGACACCACTCCGCTTCGCCCCCAGGCCCTGCCCCTCAGAGTCAGTCATTGCGGTCTCACTCCTCCCCCTCCCCCTCTCCCATTGCTCAAGCCTGGCTCTGTAGGACCCTAGACGCTTGGGTGGCCCAGCCGCTAAGACCTCGCCCCCAAGGCCCACCCCTCTGCCTAGCCAATGGGATGCTTCAGGCCTGCTCCCTTTAGGGACCGTCCCTTAGTCTCTTTCCCCGCCGTCCCGGCCTTAGGCCTCTCCCCTTTTCAGGCCCTCCGCTCAGACTCCGCCCCTTGCCTGGCCCAGATTTGCACGCAGCAGAGCGCGCGCGGGCTCCGCCCCCCTCGGTGGTCATTGGCTCGCGCCAGCGTCGCGGGTTGGAGGCGGGGCGGCGCGGGCTCGAACAGGACGGCCGCCATCTTGCGCGGAGCTTGAGTCGGTGCCCGAGGTTGTGGCCTAGAGTGAGTGCGAGTCTGTTGCCCTGCCTCGCCCCGGCCCTGCCTCGCCGCTGCTCGATCCCACCACGGCTCAATCCCGCTGCGGCCCCACCGGAGTCCTCGTTCGCGGAGTCCCCGCAACTAGCCCGGGTCCAGCCTTTCGAACCTCACCCCGGCCCGGTCCGGCCTCCCCGCGGGGTCACGCGGCCGCCCCGGGGACGATGAACGGAGGATAAATGGTGCCCAAAGCAGACAGCGGTGCTTTTCTGCTGCTCTTCCTACTCGTGCTCACAGTTACTGAGCCGCTGCGACCAGGTGCGCGGCGCGGTGGGGGGGCGGGGCGGGGGGCGGGGCCGCGGCCGCGAGTCCGGCGAGGGCCAGAGCCGGGACCACCCTCCACACTCAGCTACCTCAGGCGGTGCGCGTTTGAGAAACAGATGGGTGAGGTCTGGTTCACCGGCTGCTGGGCGCAAGCTCTAGCTTCCGGTACCTGATACCGGGCGCCTTGCAGGTCTTGCCGCTCTGTCCTCGAGGAGTCGCCTCTGGATCCTCCTCCACCAAGCACTGCGTGCCCTGAGAGCCACCGGCCAGGAGCTGCGCCTTCGGCGCGCCCTGCGGCCAGCCCCAACGTCATGATCGACCTGGAGGGCTGGGGGCCGGGAGCAGTTCATGGAGGCACCTGGTTTCACAGGCGTCCGCCCCCCTGTGGCCTGGTACAACCTTTCAGGCCAGGACAGCGGTGACTGGGTGGCTTGTTTCCTGTGAGACGTTGCACCGGAGAAATCCTCAGCGCAGAGCCCGATCTAGAGGAGGTACTAGGTCTACAAGCACCCTGTGCAGGGGGGCAGAGATCTCGCCGTGGTGCCAGACTCTTAGCAGTGCTCCATTTGTGTGATGCGATTAAATGCTTTTGGAACTCCCCTTGGTGGAAAATCAGAACCATGACTACTAGAGGGCCCTTTTCTGCCTATGTGGGGTATCCCTGAACTGCACCAAGAAAATCGGATCCCCCTTAAGGAAGGATCATTTATCCTGTGCTGCAGACCCATTGTTCTTTTAAGGGGCTACAAAATGTTTTAGTGAGCAGAAAAAAAGAATCTTAGATGGAAGAAAATGTTGTGTGTATTAATACAGTCACCTTTACTTCAGTCCAATGAAAAGTACAATTCTTAATTTTTTGGTACAGTGGATTGAACCTAGGACATCTCACTTATTAGGCAAGCACTCTACCAGTGAGCTACATTCCCACCCTTTTTTATTTTGAGACAAGAACTAAGTTGCCAACGCTGTCCTCAAACTTTGATTCTCCTGCCTTAGCCCTCTCAATCGCTGGGATTACAGGCTTGCACCACTAGGCTGATTTCTGACTGATTCTTACTGGTTTGTTATTGAGGCAGTGTCCTATAAAGGGTGAAGTGCCCAGGGCCATCTTCTGAGAGTGACATCAAGGATGAGGTGGGAGCACAGAGGTGTGTACTTCACTTTGTTACTTCACAGGTTATCATCCTAGAAATGCTGCATTTAGGGGCTGGGGTTGTGGCTCAGCGGTAGAATGCTTGCCTGGCACGTGTGAGGTGTCCAACTACAACTAAAAATGAAAAGAAAAGAAAGAAATGCTGCACTCTGGGCTTCATGCCTTTGTTATCTGCCTGGAATGTCTGCCTCTTCCCCGGTGTCAACCTGATGGCCGGTGCCCTAGGCCCATGCTTAACCTGAACAGAATCAGTGATGTTTCCCTGGCTTCTCTGAGTAAGCTCATTGTGGAATGACCTTGGCAGGGATAGAAGCCATGAAAAAGTTTGCCTATGAGGAGGGTACAGAGTTGATGAGTTTGTGGGTTCTTATTAAATTCTTCATAAATGTGTGTACCTTTAGAGAGGTAAAACAATCCTGTTGTGGTTCCTGAATCCCAGTTTTATATATGAGGTCACTGGGCTTGGAGATGAAGTCACACATAATGCCCATCATCTTTGGCATACCTCTGGTTTCAGGTCCAGCATCTCCTGCCTGGATCAAGGAAGTGACCAATGTCTTTAACTCCTTTTCCCCATTAACATATTTTACCAGATGGCTAGAAGCAGTAAAGAAAGTGTATGTGAATGCTTGATGTCTGCCCATCACTGGGAGTGTTCAAATGAAGAGAACATACCCTTCCCTTTAGGAGTTCCTGACGTGGAGGCAGAGTCTAGGTACATTCTTTTTGGTTGAGTACCCCTTGAGCATGGGAGCCCAGAGAAGGTGGCAGAGTTGTCTGTCCTTTTGCACCTGTGAAGTAGTGAGTACTCCCAAGTGTGGCAGCCTCGAGACAGGTTGCAGAGTTGTCTGTTCTTTTGTACTTGTGAAGCAGAGTAAGACTGCAGGAAGCTCATTCTGGGGTCTGAGTGAGACATGAAATGGGGAGGCTCCAGTAGAGGGAGCAAAGTTATCCTTTTAATTCCATATCCCTCCATATCAAAAACATGTTTTGGCTTTTCTTATTTCAGCAGCCCTTGGGTGGTGTCTTGGATTGCCCTAAAAAATCTCAGGGATCCAACTGGCCCCTGACTTTCATTAGGCAACTAGGACAGTTCTCATCCTGGGCCAGATGTTTTCTTTGGATGCTCAGGTGTGCCTCTTCACATATTTGCTTAGTGTCTATCTTTAGAATGCCAGGCAGAGGTTTGCCTGTTTGGTGATTGTGAGAGGAAGGGACTTCTCCTTTTTGAGAAAGAGAAGCCCCTGGTCTTGGTTTGCTCTCTTTTTTGTCTGGTTTTGAACCATACTTGGGTGTTAAGAGGGGCACTAGCTAGAACCTGCGTCTTGGGAGGGAGGCAGGTGGAGATGGTATCCTCTGACTCCTGCTCAGTGTTATCCCTGAAAACAGGGCCAAGCTACTTTGGCCTCCTCTCTGAGACAGGGCAGAGCCTTTCACAGAGTGGTGGAGAGACAGCATATGCTTGCAAGATTTTTCACCAAAGTTTCTTTTTCTTTTTTTGGTACCAGGGATTGAAGTCAGGGGCACTTAACCACTGAACCACATCCCCAGCCCTTTTTTTTTAATTAATTAATTTATTTATTTTAGTTTTCTGCGGACACAACATCTTTGTTTGTATGTGGTGTTGAGGATCGAACCCGGGCTGCACGCATGCAAGGCAAGCGCGCTACCGCTTGAGCCACATCCCCAGCCCCCCCAGCCCTTTTTTGAATTTTATTTAGAGACATGGTCTCACTGATTTGCTTAAGGCCTCGCTGAGTTGCTGAGGCTGACTTTGAACTCACAATCCTCCTGCCTTAGCCTCCTACTGAGGATTACAGGTATGTGCCATTGTGCCTGACTCTCTTTTTTTTTTTTTTTAAAGGCTGTGTAAAACTACTATATTTACAAAAGTTAATTCAGGGGCTGAGGCTTGTAGCTCAGTGGCAGAGCACTTGCCTAGTATGTGTGAGGCACTGGGTTCCAACCTTAGCACCACATAAAAATAAATAAAGGCATTCTGTCCATCTATAATTTTTAAAAAAGTGTATTCAGTCAATATACATGCATACATACTTCATTTACATCTTGAACAAGGAAAAACATTCAATACTGCAGAGCTAAATGAGACTACTAGACTTAACCGCAGGTGTTAAATGCTGAAGTTACACTAGTTACACTGGAATATGGGCAAATATTGCTCAAGTAAAATTCTATTGTTAAAGCTGAAATAGGTTTAAGGTCATTTGAGTTTAAGAATAGTTAATACAAATCCTTCAGAACCCCATCTATTTGTGTTTGAATTATGTGACTTTTTTCCTAACTTGTGTATTAAATTTCTGTTTTACAAAATCCAAAAGGAAAGAAGAAATCAATAAAACAGAGTTTATAGTAAATAAAAGTAACATTCAAAACTATAATTAAGATGAAGTAAGGAAAGCCTAAACATTAAAATTGTAAAACTTGTTGGAATCAGTCCTATATTTAGGAGTTAGATAATATATACAAATATTTTCAAGTAGATTACTTGCTCTGAGATGTTCTTTTCTAAGTGCACTGTTAAACTAATCAAAACCTCTACATATTATTCCCTTAAAATAGTAGCACACACTATTGATATCTGCAAAGCTGTCAGTCTGAACTGACTTAGTGAATGAAAGTAAACAACAACAAAAAAATTGGATAAGTAATAAGAAATAATGGGAATTACAAAATGTATGCACTTCAGTTCTTTTAATCAGCCAGACAGCTTACTAGCTCCTGTGGAGAATGAATGTGGTCATTGGTGATCTCTGTCCCCTCCAGGGTTTCAGTAGGAAGTTGCTTGTTCAGCTTTGCTTTAGCCATGTTGTAATCCCCAGAATCAAATTATTTTTGCCCTTTTTGCAGTTGTTTTCTTTAAAAAATCAGAACCTTCAGGCTTTTGTAAAAAAAATACCTTTTAATTTTGCTTTTTCAGCTTTCTTTGGATTAGTTACTTCCATTTCCTTCTGCTACTCCTCTGAGTCTACTTGGGAACTTCCACAGACATAGTGTTGTTCCCTGTAATCTCACTTCTCCCCCAAAGTTTCTTTTGAAATATATATTTGGTCTTGGTTGATTGAAGATGGGTTATGTATTGATTAACTTTCAGATGGTCCCTTGTAGACTGTTATTAGCCCCATTTTACAGATGGAGAAACTGAATTACAGTGCTCATAAAGCTAAGTGATTGAGATGAGATTTTAATCCTAGGAATCTACTTGTCCCCTCATTATGTACCCTTGGCTATGTCCCTGTTCACTCTGTGAATGTTCAGTCCTGGTCTTAAGAGAACCTCACATTATGCTTTGAACAGTTTTCTTAACCTGAGCTGTGGAGTTCCAGGCTGCCTCTGTCCCTGATAAGTCCTGGGGATTCTCTACATATTGAACCTTTTTCCTTCTGAATGTTGTGGTCTGAGGGATGGAATCCCTCTATCTCCCCGACTCATTCCCCCCCACTCATTCCCCCCACACTTTTTCTGTAATTGGCCATAGTCACCACTGATGTGTATTATGTCCTTCCAGGGTGTGGGGAGAAAGAAGGATCAGAGATTTGTGCTGAAATAACTGTGAAAGCAACCTGGGTTCTCTAGGAGTTGCTAACTGATATTGTTGCATTGGTCTTTTTCCCACTTGTGCAGGGAATGCAATATCATTTGCTCATCTTAAAACTCATTCTGTCGGGCTTGGGTTGTAGCTCAGTGGTAGAGTGCTTGCCTAGCATGTGTGAGGCACTAGGTTCAATTCTCAGCACTACATATAAATAAATAAAGTTTCAGCAATAACTAATAAAAATATTTTTTTTAAAAACTCATTCAGTCTTTACTTGGGAAACAAAAT